CTCATATGTTCCTATGCCAGCCCCGGAAATTTTTCTTCTCATTTTTCATTCTCATTAAGTTTCTGAAAGCAGGATGCCTCGTAAGTCTAGTCAAGAGTCAGATGAAGCCAGCCAAACTTCGCTCTAGGAAAGTGGGCAGAACAAAAGGAAAAGAATAGATAACTTATGCCTAATGGTTTAAACGCGGACCCGATTTCATCGCGTCAACTCATTCCCATCACAACTACCGACTCCGTTTTTCGTGAACCCAAACGATGGATTTGGGCGCTGCGCCCGCCGAAGTTGGCACACAAGAACCCACCAAAGAGCCGTCGCTCCCTTCCTCTGCAATCTCGCCCTTTTTATAGTTCTCTTCTTCCCACCCACCTACTACCTTTGCCGGTCGAATCTGTCAGGGAGAGTTGGGAAAGAGGCGAAGGTTCTTTCTCCCTCCTGACTGTCTGGATCAACCCCCACCTCCTTAGCGTGAGGGCGCCCTATCTGCATTGCTCAATGCCGGGACGTTCGGCGATGCCCAGGAGGGATGGAGATCAAACCGGGCAGAAATGTTTACCGAGAGGCAGCTTCGCTGGCCGGTGAGAGTCTTCTTGTCCGCAGCCTTTTTTTCCCCTAGAGCTGCAGTTTAGGCAAATTTGGAAGCTACTTCCGGTCTTTGGGGAGCGCCAGCAGGTGCAGGAGGACTTGCTCTCCCGGGGAACCTCCGCGCGTTGCACCCTTCTGACTCGCGCTTCTGCCGCCGCCACCGTCCCTGCTGCCTTGCGCTCTCTCTCCCGCGCGCTCCCAGCCAAGGCTGCAGAGACTGAGCTGCCCGGACTCAAGCTTGCACAAGTAGGTCAGAGAGGCACTGAGCATGCTCGCCGTTGAGCCAGGCTGCTGTGGAACTGCTCAGGAGTTACCCTCTGCCTCTTTCTTTTCGTCCCCAGCGAAGGTCACACCGGTGTTTAGATGCGGGAGTGAAGGACGATGGGGGGAGGCTCAGGCCCCGGGGAATTCTTTCCCCTCAGATAAGGCGCAGAAGAGACAGCATCTAACGTGTAGCGCCGCGCTGTTAGTAGATGGATCGTAAGATACGATGGAGGTACTTTAAAATGTATCTCTGTATGCGGTCATTCGGCTGTTAGCGCATTTGCTTTTTATTCAGCAGAGGCGAGTTTGCGCCTATCTTTTCCACTTGCTTCAGTGATCGTTCTGGTTCTTCCAATATTTTAGTTTATTCACAACTAAGAGAAAATCGGGTATGCAGTGTGTATGCTTTTTATTCAGCAGAGGCGAGTTTGCGCCTATCTTTTCCACTTGCTTCAGTGATCATTCTGGTTCTTCCAATATTTTAGTTTATTCACAACTAAGAGTTAAATCGGGTATGCAGTGTTGAGTTTCTGTCCGCAGTTTGTCAATTGGCCTAATACTCAAAGCTGGAGAGAAGGGATTAGAGAGAAAAAAGTTCAAAACAAGCCTACATTGAAGTCGGGGACCAGCTGAATAGATTCAATTACATTAGCAGTGGGTGCACCATTAGAAGATCTGAAAACACCGGGTTAGGAATAGATGTCAGGGAAAAAAATATGTGAGCTCTTAAGACTTGACAAGGATTTCTTGGTGCATCAGCATCACCTTCATCATAGGCTAAGTAATTTAAAGAGGGGCTGCCACAGAGAGTAGGAAGTCAAGCTATTTTCCAAGGCACCTGAAAGCCAGACAAGGAATAATGGATGGAAACTATCAAGGAGAGATTCATAAGTGTGGGAAAAATGCTCGTATGTTACAGATAATCAGAGTTGGAAGGGACCTTGCAGGTCACCTAGTCCAACCCCCCACCCAGGCAGGAGACCCTATAACATTTCTGACAAATCTCTTCTTGAAAGTCTCAAATGATGATGCTCCCACAACTTCCGAGGGCCAGCTGTTCCATTGGTTGATTGTTCTCACTGAAAGTTTCTGCTTATTTCCAGGTTAAATGTCTCCTTGTTCAGTTTCCATCCATTATTCCTTGTCTGGCTTACAGATGCTTTAGAAAATAGCTTGACCCCTTCCTCTCTGTGGCAGTTCCCCAAAATATTGGAAGACTGCTATCATGTCTCCCCTGGACTCTTCACTAGACTAGCTGTGCCCAGTTCCTGTAACCATTCTTCATATTTTAGTCTCCAGTCTCCTAATCATCCTGGTTGCTCTTCTCTTTACTTTTTCTACAGCCTCAACATCTTTTTTATAGTATGATGACCAAAACTGGATGCAGTACTCTAGATGTGGTCTTACTAAGGCTTTATAGAGTGGTATTAGTACTTCACTTGATCTTGATTGTATTCCTCTGTTAGTGCACCATAGGATCATATAACTTAAATCTCTTGCATTTTTCTGTGCTTACCCACTAATGGGCAGGGTGTGACATTTGAACAGAATGGAGAATTGGAAGAACTGAACACCTGCCGACAAGTTCACCTGACCAGATTTCAAGAATTACTTGAAAAGCTGCCCATAGTTCACAATATACATTCACTCACATCTTGACAACAGGAAGTTTCCTTATTGCACCTAAAACATCATCTTGTTCCCAGCCTGTGGGTCAAATAACTTTATGGTATCATTAGGTATTCCAGTTTTTAAAACTTATTTCTTCCCTTAACCCAGTCCTTCCACCATTGCATAAAATCTGTAAACTTTTTTTACTGACCTGTGTGGGTGTGATCTGAGGTGTATTTGGGGAGTGTGAGGAGGAGAAATATGCCCTCTCTGGTTATTAGCTAGCCTCTGCCACACCCATTTCACTATTAGTCTTTAGCCTCTCCATAAGCATTTTGTACCTAGTATTCCTTCATACTTATGGTTTTGCTTAGTAATATTAACAGCCTGTTCCACTCGAACTAAATTTTGGATGGTATATTCCAAATAAAAGACCCCGTAAATATTGAAAATTAAATAGAAATAATAAAAGATCACCAGTGAGTGCTTCAGTTGCTCCAATTCCTACAGCACAGGACTGCATTCCTCCACAGGGAAGATCCGTAACATGAAATCTTTCACTGCAAAGGCCTATTCATGAAACTGAAACCTATAAAGATGGACTTACACAGGATGAGAATAAGATAGGTGGGTTTTTGGCAAGGCATTGCCTGATTTTGGACTGGGATTAGGGAGTGTTATGCGTGGTCAGTTTTCTTTCTTTCTTTCTTTCTTTTTTTCTCTTTTCTCTCTTCCCTCCCAAACTCCTTCCATCTCTCTCTCTCTTTTTATCTATCTATCTGTCTGTCATCTATCCATCCATCCATCCATCCGCTGCCATTGTTGTTGTTCTGGCAACTCTATTGTACATTTCAATTTAAAATCTACCCAATTTAAAAAAGAATGACCAGCAACTAATCCGTTTCAGTTATCTCATTTTACAGCAGGGGTGTCAAACTTGATTTCATTGAGGGCCAGATCAGCATTGTGGTTGTCCTTGGGAGCCTGGGGCAGAAGGGGTTGGGCCGTAAGTGCCCAGGCATAGCCCAGGAGTGTGGCCAGCTCGACATTGCTTCCCAGGGGGGGAACCTTGTGGAGGCCAGGTGGGGTTGGGAGGGAACCCAGGGGTCTCTGGCAGGCGGGGCTGTGGAGAATTGTCCTGCAGGATGAGGCGAGGCAGGGAGCAGGGTGGGGTGCCCCCATCATGAGGCAAGGTAAGGGGATGAGATTGCTGCTGCCAGAAACTGTTGGCTACCGTGCACTCATCGGCCTTTGTGGCAGGGGCTGATGGTTTCTAGCAGCAGACGCAGCCTGCTGGCCTTTCAGCTGGCAACTCTGCAGCCCCGGAGCCCGCTGCCACCACCAGGCTGGCCGTCGAAGCAGCAGGCATGGTGGCAGCATCAACAGCAGGTGGGGGGAGGCATGTGATACAGACTACTGGATTCGTTTACTCATCCCACTGACTTTTTGCTTACATTTGGGAGCTGCTGGTGGCCTAAATGGTGGCAGTGGCCCACAGCGGTGCAGAAGTACATCAGGCGCGCAATGGGAATGCGCTCCATGTGCAGGCCAAGGGCAAAACTTGCAAGGGGGCTGAGGCGATGACCAGTATTGACCAAAATTGGATGCAATATTCTAAGTGGACTTAGACACAAAGCCAGCAGAATGACTAGTTTTGCTCACTCCATTCTAGGAAGAAAGCCGGGGCAAACCTCAAAATATGGCCAAGAAAACTTGAAAAATTAATCTTGGCAGTTACCAGGAGTCAACACTTACTTACCCAGACACAACTCCTCCGTCTTTTTGGGGTGTGTGCGTGCTTTGGAGCAGCAATCTTCATGTGGTTGGAGGTCCTGGGCATGGCATTGTAATCTAAGTGTCACTTCATTTGTATGTTTTAATATGTACACAGAGAAAAACACAGGAATTGGATTGGAATACTGTGTTTGCCATCTTGCAGATGTTTACACCCATCCCTATAGCCACCCCTGTCTGACAGTTGTTGGTACCTGGCAGTCTTGTCTTATAATGCAGGATTTCTAAGACATCTCATCGCTTCAGAGAACTTAAGATTTTTCTGTTTCAGGTTGCACCCAGGAATGGCTTAATGCCAGAGGATTTAAGAGATGTGAAGTTGACTACAGCCATTAACAGGTCAATTGATGCTAGGCATGAAAGGGTAGAATGAGATCTAGTGACATACTGAATAACAGAAGTAATTTGGAGAACAAATTATCTTCTTCAATAGTTTTCCCATCACTGTCTTATAGTTTCAGATATCTGCTTATTTTTAATCTATAGCAATATCTCAGCTTTAGGAATTATCGATTAGTTAATAGCACTTAGACTTATAAGCCATTCTATAGTGCTTTACAGCCCTCTCTAAGCAGTTTACAGAGCCAGCATATTGTCCCCAACAATCTGGTACCTCATTTTACCCACTTCGGAAGGATGGAAGGCTGAGTCAACCTTGAGCCTGGTGGGATTTGAACTGCCAAACTGCAGGCAGATGGCTGTCAGCAGAGGTAGCCTGCAGTACTGCACTCTAACAACTGTACCACCGAGGCTCAGTATTCTTCTCTAGTAATCCTAGAGAAGAAAGCATAATTGTTAAAAAAAGTATCCTCATGAAAGTATCAGCATTTCTATTTTAAAGTACTAAAAAGTATGACAAATAAATGCACTGGTAGTGCAAAAGAATTTTTGACTTTTCTTGGCTCTTCAACTAAGCCAGTTTTGCTTGGCCGATAGCCAGGCGGAGGAAGTATTTCTCTTCTCATAAGTATTATATGACCTGACTTCTATAATTTAATTATTGGGTATTAAAATATGCATCCTGAAAATAAAGCTCTATGTACTCTCAGAAAAAATAGGCACAATGTTATTTATTGATATAGGTGTTTGTTTTTCTAGACCAGAGGATGGGAATTTTATAGCTGAGTAGAAGGAAACTCAGTAAAATGTAAATATAATTTTTTATAAATAATATAAAATATCCTGCTTTTACACACTGAAATTTTATACATTGAAATGAAGGAGGTTTGTTTTCTTAATCCAAAATTTTAAGTATAGGAGATCAGGATTTCCATGGAAAACATTGCTGTGCAAGAATTCCTACAACATCAAATACACCCTTTAATTTATAAGAAATAAACACCATTATAGAATGAAGTATTTAATTTAAATCGGTCAAAAATAAAGTTGCTCATATTAGAGAATCTATTCTCAAATTCTGCTCATTCTTACATGTAAAAATGTGGTTTCCTTGAGTTCCAAGTTTCCATTTGCAGAAAACGTTCTTCCACTTAATTTTGTTTTAAACTTCAAAATAATATATTAATACAAAACATACAGTAGATTTAAGAGAATTTCTGAAAGAACCATGACAAGTATTAGAAGACACAGAACATTATTAAAAGAAATTAAATCAATTCGTCAGAAATAAGCCTGATTTTGAAATGTATAATGCTTACCTTCAGGGAGAATACTAAGACAAAACAAGAGCATCCCCGTGAAATCTGAAAAGTATTAAAACTTTGGTGATTTCAACCTGAGTAAAGTTTTGTGGCAACCTAATTAATAGGTAAGTTTTGCATGTATTCATACAATGTTTTGAGATGTTAGTGTACATTTTAAAATTCTTTATAACATATATTGTGATATTGTTAATGTACATAAACAATTCTTTATCACATATATTCTGTATCATTGTATATTCTGTACAGCCGGAGAAACATTTTTTAAAAGTTTTATCTTGTAATCCTCTAGCTTCTTAAGGATTTTTCATTTAATAAAATCATGCAGCTTCTTTAATGAGGTCAGCCAATCTTTGGAAACCCTGTAACAAAAACAAGAATAACTATTATTTATATGACATGAATCAGTAAAAAGTTGTGGTATAAATAAGGCTAGTTTGCAAAAACAAAGTTTGAAAGATACAGTGAATACTGATGATATTGTAAATTAGATTTAGCTGTATTTCCTTTTATCTCATCCATTTAATTTCTGCAGCCTACTATTTTGTACTTTTATTTTGTATAATATTGTTTATTCCTAAAAATAATAGTAGGTATATAATTATAATAAGAATAGCATTATGAATTATTATAATACCAAAATAAAACCAATAATATTTTGAGCCTTATTTTAGGGGGCACTAGGCGTGTATGTAAAGGAGATGAAGATTCTTTCCAATGTAGTTTCATCAATATAAATGCAGAAACATGTTGGAATTCCAAGATATGAAATAATTACATAGATGATCCATATGTTACCCAACCTTTTTTCCATTTACCATGAATATTTCTCATGATCAATGCCACATACAAAAAGATACCACCTTGAATGTGCACTGAATTGTTTCATGTAATGCCTATGCATACATTTCTCTTATGTATATTTCTCATTGTCTAAGTGGAATTAAGATTTAGATGAAGAGAAATCACTCTTCTATGCATTGGCACTATTCATGAATTTGAATAGGTAGAATGAAATCTTTTTTAAAAAAATCCTACATTAACTATATTGGTACTATTCCTGGGCAAATTGACTTGATAACTAAATATCTGCAAATGCCTACAATACTTCATGGATATATCTAAATGTACATAGTCTTCAGAAATTCATAGCAATATTTCATTGTTACATGGAGATGATTCTAATGTTACATAAAAGCAGGATCCTACTACTGCCTATATCAATACCCTACTCTATAAGATTGAATTAACTTTCTAGTCCTTAAAAATTTACAGCAAATAACTAAATCATCCTATCAACATACACATAAAAAGTAACGTAACATACATGAAAGATCCAAATTTAATAGCTCAAATTCAGCTGGTTTCTCACAGAAAGAGGGAAAGACTGAAATTTAATAGAACACTATAACATAATAGATAGATCATCTGTAACATAATAATAATGACTGTGAGTCTGATGAAATGGTAGATGTGGAGACAAGACAAACTTCACTCACCTGATCAATCTGACTTGGAGAAGAGAGAGAGAAGGAGGCCCTGACATGAGAACTGGGATCAGAACTGTTAATATTAAATGAACATCCAGGGACCAGCAACACCTAAAGATTAGAAATTAGAAATTGTTAAAAATTTTATTAGCTCTCTCTCCCCATTTTGTTTTAGGTTCAGTATTTATTTTTCATACTTGTTTCTCCAAAGCTTTTTTCATGATCAGTTCTTGGGTATCAGGAACTCCCTTAATCTTAATCCATAGAAACATTCCAGCAGCAGGGATATGCCAGTCTGCCAGACCTTAAATGAAAGAAATGAAATAGCAGAGTGAAAAACAGGAAAAAAAACATGCCTACCAACAACTAACTGAAGAAATTACTTTAGAAATGCACTGAAGTACAAGTCATGATTTAAAACTTAACTGCATGTGCTGACTTCTTTACCCTATGAATGGGCAGAAAGTAGACTCAGATCTCTTATCAGAGCAGCAAAGGTTTCTCCTTTTAAGATAAAGCTGAGGTGAAAAGGCTTTCTCCTTAGCTGCTCTTGTCCGACAAGTTATACTGTGAGAAAGAACAGGTTGAGGAAAACTCATCAATAGTTTCTAAAAAAAAGATACAACCCAGATACAATCCTGTGACAGAAAGAATAGTATCCTAGACTTCCCTAGGGGGCAAAAAGGGCAAATACTGGTGATAGGAGGTTCAATTTTTCAGGGAACAGAAACTATAGTCCGCACACTGAACAGTCAATCTAGAGAGGTATGTTGTCTCCCTGGAGCAAAAATCAAAGATGTAACTCAGTATCTTTCTAAGATAAATCAGCCCCATGGATTACTACCCCTCCTACATATGGGATCCAATGACACAACAATAAATCTGAAAAGAATAACAAGAGATTACAAACAGCTGGGGAAGAAAGTTAAAGAATTAGGAGCACAAAAGGTGTTTTCATCTATACTTCTAACAAAAGGGCAACACCCAATGAGGGACCAAAGGATTGTAGAAATGAACCACTGGCTTAAAAACTGGTGCCGTCAAGAGAACTTCTGTCTCCTAGATTCCTGCATGACGTACATGAAGAAGGGCTATGGGATGGAGTGAGCCTCACAAGAATTGGAAAGAATATATTAGGAAAATGAGTGGCTCATCTTATCAGAAGGGCTTTAAACTAAAAGCGAGGGAGGAGAGGGGGGAAATCTTCAAGACCTTTAGAACTTAATTCCAAGCAAAAATCATTAGATAACAAATCATATAAGGAGGTAGGGAGTAAAGAGAAAAACACAATGAGGTAGAAAGTGATGGAAAACTCAGTTAAAAAATAGGAGATATAAGAAACATACCCGAGACCCATAAAAGACTGAAATGCCTATATACAAATGCTCATATTTTGGGGAACAAACAGGGTAAACTTGAAGTACTAGTACATGAAGATAAATATGATATAGTTGCAATTACTGAAACATGGTGGGATGAAACTCATGACTGGAATGCACTGATGGAAGGATACAAGCTATTCAAAAGAAACAGACCTAACAAAAGAGGAGGAATCATATTATATATAAAAGCACTACATCTCTACAGATATCCACAAAACCAAGGATGAAAACCACCTAGAATTCAAATGGTTCAATATAAAAGGAAAAAAAGAATGACATTGCTATAGGCCACCCAACCAAGCAGAAGAAATAGATGAACAATTAAGAAATGTACGTAGGAAACATATCACCCTAGTAATGGGAGATTTAAATTACCTGATATCAACTGGGAGAAAAACTTTGTAACAAGTGGGAGAGCAACCAACCTAGTTCACACTTTTGTCATCCAAAAGGTAGCGGAGGAAAAACTATACTCAACTTAATTTTTCCTAATAGAGAAGAAGTGATAGAGGGAGCTGAAGTTGCTGGAACTTTGGGCAAGAGTGACCCAAATTCAATATAATCCAAAATTCAATATAATGCAAGTATAAGCAATAGAATGTAATTCAATCGATGTCTTAAACTTAAAAAGAACTGATTTAACAAACTTAGAGAGAGCCTAAGATTCCATGGATGAAAATCCTAAAAGGAAAAACAACTCAAGAAGCGTGGGAAATTCTGAAAAATATAACCATGAAAGCCCAGTCCACCACAATAGCACTGAAGGAAAAAAACAAGAAATCCAAGAAACCAGGATGACTGCTCCAAGATCTCTCTGATAAACTCAAAGAAAAAGGATAAATACAAAAAAATGGAAGAGGAACACATAACTAAGGTAGAATATCAACAGATAGACTGAATCTGCAAAGATGAAGTCAGGAAAGCAAAGAGTCAGAATGAATAAAAGATATGCAACAAAAATCAAAGATAATAATAAAAAAAATCATTCAGCATATAAAAAAGTCAAGGAAACAGTATTCACTAACGAGAGAAGATGGCAAAGAAGAAACAGGCAGCAGATAGAAAGCAGAACTGCTTAACTCATTCTTTGCATCAATCTTCATGCAAAAAAGGAATTATAGCCCAACTTACCAAAAACCTAACCATAAAAGATTGACTAGAAATAAAAATTAAAATAAGCAAGAAAATGGTTAGAAAACACCTATCTGATCTTGATGAATCAATGGGACCTGACAGATTACAAAGTTCTGAAGTACTGGCAGATGTTATCTCAGAACCATTGTACCATATCTTTCAAAAATCCTGGAACATCAGGGAATTACCTGAGGGTTGGAAAAGAGCTGATGGGATTCCCATCTTTTAAAAAGGGGAAAAAACAGACCCACGAAACTACAGACCAATCAGCCTAACATCAATACCTGGGAAGATACTGGAAAAGATAATTTAAAGACAACAGATCTGAAAACATCTATAAACAAATAAAGCCAGCATGCATTTGTTAAAAACAGATCATGTCAAACCAATCTTATTTCATTCTTTGACAAAGTGACTAAATTAGTAAACCAGCAAAATGCTGTAGACATAGTATACTTAGACTTCAGCAAGGCATTCGACAAAGTAGACCACAAGCTTCTTGATTAGCTGGAAAACTGCGAGATAGATAGTATCATCACCAGATGGATTTGTAACTGGCTGACAAACCATACTCAACAAGTAGTCCTTAATGGGTCTAAGTCTACATGGAGGGGAGTAAGCAGTGGGGTACTACAAGGTTCTGTCTTGGGCCCAGTATTGTTCAACATCTTCATAAATGACTTAGATGAATAGATGAAGAAACTTATCAAATTTGCAGATGACACTAAACTGGCAGGAATAGCCAAAACCCTACAGACTCAAAATCATGTGAAGTATTAGTACCACTTTATAAAGCCTTAGTAAAGCCACACCTGGGGAATACTGCATCAGATTTTGGTCAGATTACAAAAAGGATGTTGAGACATTGGAGAAATTGTGAAGAGCAACTAAGATGATTAAAGGCCTGGAGACTAAAACACATGAGGAACGGTTGCAAGATGGGGGTTTCGGTTTGAAGTCTCTTCGGCGACAGACAGAAATCCGCGATCGTGCACGGTTTCGGTCTGGGCTCGCCGCTGGAGTGCCCCAAGCCCGGCTGGTTTCGGGGCTAAGCCACCCCATAGAGGTGGTGAAGAGGGGGGAGACCGCCAGCAGGGTTGAGGAGTGCCGCATCTCTCCTCCTCAGCTGGCCATTACTCCCTTTCCTGAAGGCAGTTGCAGCAGTGGTCAGAAATGGCCACCACAAAGAAGAACTCGACCGGAAAAGAATGTGCAGGAGGAAGATAAGAAGTGAAAGTTTTGGCTGACTGGGTTAAATTGTAAAAGCAACAACTAAGGTACCCTGGGATCTAAATTTACAAAAAAATAACATTACTCCCAAAGAAGAGTCGGAAGTAGCGAAGGAAAGTGAAAAGGGAAAGGTTTGGCTTTTTTTCCCTTCTCTCTCCTTCCCTATACTGACAACTAAGAGACTTAAATAAGAAATTGGAAAAATCCGCTTTGACATCAATAGGCAATTAAGCTGAAAATAAAATAAAATGCCAAAGGGATAATAAAGATTTCTGGACACTATTTTTTTTTTTTATAAGCAGGAAGGGAGAGAAAAAGAATAAGGGCAGGATCTGGAAGAGGGAGGAGACTGCCTGGAATTAAAAAGAATCTACAGTAAAACTTTAACAAGACTTCTAAAAGATACATTTTAACTGAAACTTTGTAACTAAACAGTAACCCCAAGAAGAGAAAGTGAAAAAAAAAGAGCAAAAAGAAACAGCTTGCATGTATTTGGATTATTTGGTGATCTTTGGATTCTTGGTTATTACATTTGAATGACTAAAATTAATCGGGTGGTTGTTTAAAAATTTATACAATGGCACCACTTCCGGATGAATTGAAAATGGAACATAAAAAAGTACAAAGAAGATGCACAAGAAGGGAAGGGTTCTTTTGGCTTCGTTTTTCAATTCTTAGAAATGGAGATTTGGAACTATGAGAAACAACAAGAAATGTCTGCAAAACCAGAAGACTGGGACAAAGAAGAAGCCATCTTTAATGAACAAGTAATTTTATGTTGGGAAGAAAAAGGAAAGGGGGGAAAGAGAATGGAGAATTTAAGACTTAAAAAAACAACCAAATAAAAGAAAAATAATTTGAAAAATAAGTATAATACTGGAAAGCAACAGAAAAGGGGAATACAGAAGAGAGAAATAAGAGGTAGAGAGACAAGGGGGTAAAAAGGGGAGAGAGAAGAAAAGAGGGAAGGAAAGGAAAAGAAGTTACAAAGGACCGGAGCAAGATATAGAGAAACAGGACCTATTTAGAGATAATGGGTGAAAATCTAACTGAAAAAGGGATTCTGTAAAGGTACATAAGATTATATTGTTATATTAGTAATAGAAATAATTTAGAAAATTGGAAACAACGTATGATTAAAATGAGGGATAAAACAGTGTAATTTAGTGAAATGTTTGTTAATAAAATAAGTGAAATAAAATGAGAAAATTGAATTAGGAAGGAACGGGAACATTTTAATTAGTTAATGTTTTATAAAATATAAGTGAAGGGGGTGAAATTAATTATGGAAAGCTTATAATTGTTCCCATAGAAGTATGATATTTAATTGAAAAGTAATGTTAAAGAAGTTGACTTTAATGAATATGAATATTAATGATAGAATTGAACTAGAATGGAATGTGTTGTTTTAATTACATACATTCATAATTTTTTCTTTTTTTAAGAATATAGCGTGCATTTTAAGAATGTACCAAGCAGAATCCAAATGGAAGTTATGTATTATATTGAATGTTATAACTTTAGGGTATATATTGAAGCCTAAATAAGAGTTAAATGGATAAACTTAAAAGATATAAAGGCGTCATACTCCAATCAGTAACTACAGGAGAAATTTTGTTTAATGAGAAAAGATAATAGATAATTGAAACAGGACAGACAAAAAAAAATATAAATATAATGATTTGAATTGAGATAATTAAAATTGAGAAAATTAAAAGGGAGGCTCAACCAATCTCATTGTACACATATTGTAGTTTGACAATAAAGGTAATAATAATATTACAGACAGGACTTGACTTGATATGTCCATATATATATACCTATATCCAAGGACTATGTTGAGTTTTATTGGCTAGTAATGATGCCAGTAAATGAACTTAGCCTTACAGAGGAGCTTCTTTACTAAAAGGAACTACAAATATAAGAATATTATCTGGAACACTTGTAGGAGTACAGCAATAGCAGGGATGAAATGCAAAAGGCAAGGGACCATATTGTATTTTCACAAGAAAGTCATCATTGAACACAGAACAACCTTCAAAGGGAAAAAGATGATGGATTTCACTTAAATTGCTATGTTATTCACTTAAATTTCTATGTTAAGATCTACTTTAAATTGCCCACTATAATTTCTTATTTAAATATTTTTTAAAAATAACCCTAAAGTGGGATACATTAACTTTTTACACACTTCTCAAGACAAAAAGTTATACATTTTCCTTTCCTTTCTTATAGTATATTTCTGTCATATATTAATAGTTCAAATGTTCATTATTGATGCCAACCTTTTAGCCATTTGTCTGCTGCGTTAAGCATCACATCTCGCTGTTGTTTATAAAAATCCACCACACTAGCAGAAGATGAGAAAAACAAAAGAGAAAAGCATATTGATGAAGAAACTCTTCCAAATTAACCGTTCTGATGCTGAAAACAAGGGAAGTCATTTAGGACAAGGGAGTCCAACTATGGCAACTTGAAGACTCAGTTGGCTGGCTGAGAAATTCGAGTTGAAACTGAAGTCCACAGATTGTCAATTCCCTGGTTTAGAGAAGACTTTGTGGACTTTATAGAAAGAGCAATTGGTTTTAAAGACTTCTGTGCCCTAAATGACAGTTTGTAGATATTCTCCAAGATTAAGGCATCTTTTTTAATCACTGCAAAGAATTTTTAAATAAAAATCTGCCAGAAGGAATACTGTATATATAATTATTATGCAAAGAACATTAAATGGCCTTCCTCTAAATGGTTGCTTTGTGTATATCTTTTTGATGCATCCAAACTATATTGATTATGCACTTGGATGCATAATTCCTAATAATGATAGACAGATTTTTTTTTGTTCTTTAATAATTTTAGAATCATTAAACAACAAAAATATGTGTATCATTATTAGGATCATTTATTGTTCAGACGAAGATGATATAAATGAGAATGTACAGTATTGGATTTCAATTTTCAGTGACTGCAGCACCAAGGGTGGGCTGCTGGGGGGTTCACAAGGGTTCAGGAGAGCTCCTAGCTAAGATTCTGTGCAGTTTGGAGAACCCCCAAATCCTACTCCTGGCCCACCCCGCCCCTCCCAGGAGTCCCCACGCGGCCTGCTTTGGATGCAGGTAAGTGCAGGGCGCGCGTGGAGGCTCAGGGAGGGCAAAAAATGGGCCTTCTGGAAGTTCGGGAAGGCTGGAAATGGGTCCGTTTCCGGCTTCCAGAGCCCAGGGAGGCAGTTTTCGCCCTCCTGGAGGTTCAAGAAAGGCCTCCATAGCAGGGGTGGGATTCTACGCACTGGTAGAATTGCTAGAACTGGTTGTTAACTTTCTAAGCAGTTCAGAGAACCAGTTGTTAGAATAAATTACTGGCCTAATCCTGTAAGGAAGGCAGGAAGGAAACATTCTGGTGTTGCTTACAGAAACTGCCTCTCCATTAACGCTTATTACATTCTTGGCAGGACTAGACTTCTTGTCTCAGGAATGTCTCTGGATTTCCCCCCCCCCCTCCTTTGCTGGTACTTTGCTTGTGTGGAGTGACCATTCAAAGTTACAACGGCACTGAAAAAAGTGACTTATGACCATTTTTCACACTTACGACTGTTGCAGCATCCCCACAGTCATGAAAGGCCAGGCGAGATGTGTGCCTCGATGTGAATGATATTGAGTTGGCCACACCCAGCAAATAACATGACCACCAAGCCACGTCCATCCAGTTACATGACCACCAAGCCATGCCCATCACCTAAGCCACGCCCACAGAACTGGTTGTTAAAAAAATCCATAGCCTGGGAAGGGCAAAAATGCCCCCTCCCCCCCGGTGCAGGAGGGCAACCCGGCCACACCCACCATGGCCAGACCCATCCAGCAACCAGGCAGAGAACCTTTGCTAAAATTTTTGAAGCCCACCCCAGAGCAGCAGAAACCTGAATACATTTCTGTCTTGTAATACTTTTCTACCGTAGCACAAAATGATATTTATACATTGCATACCTAGTGGAAGAGGATGTCCAAATAATGTGGACTATAGCATTTCTATATAAGGAAATATATGCAAGCTACAACTAAAATTGTGATCCAAAAGGAAAACAATATGGGATAGGAGGAAAATAACTCCAACAAATCAAATATATAGTAAGTAATTTCTGATACTGTTAGAAATAGAAATTTCATTCTAAATATTTCTAATTAGAAGTTAGTACCACCATGTTTAACAGGATACCTGTACACTTGCTGCATTCCCAGATGTTTTAGATTACAATGTCCAGAATTCCTAGCAGGTATTTCAAGGGTAGCTTTCAGGCAATTAAATCTAAATTCTGTATATTCAAATGAATGGACAATGTACAATAAATTGTGTATATTATTGTAGCCATTATATAAATATGTATTTATGTACAGTATATGTATGTGTGTATGTAGAATTACTTGTGACAGTAATATTAAAACAACATATATTTAAAATATATACAAGAGCATACAATAATAAAAAAAACATACAATATGCCAAAAATGAAATATACTAAATACAGCTACCTGTCTACATGATCCAAGAAACCATTCAGTCCCCATTGTTGAAGAAGCTCGGCTATCATAAGCTATAGAAATAGTGGGGCTACAGTCAGTATGCTATTTGCTCATCAACAGACACTAGTAAAAAAAAAAAATCTAAAATGGCTTTACAGAGGAAAAAAAAGGCCATATAACACCATCCTATGAATAGGATGGTTATTCTCAATAAGCTACTGCAGGGCCTTGTCTAGATAATTACTAGGAGTTAAGATTTAAGGAGTTAAGCTCTACAATCATTTTTATAAATAGATATGCCAGGCACCGATACTATTCTGCTAATACCATAGCATTAACAGTAGTAAGTAATAGTAGTTTGGTGTACTTTGGGGTAATGTTCAAAGCACTGCTTAATTCAGGCTTGTTCACAGCCTTATTAGTAACAGCTAAAGATATGGACAGAGAAAGGGCTCATTGTAGAAAATCTAATACTGTGTCCATAACAGCTTTCAAATGCTCACAACTGTAAACAAGTTATAAAGTATTTTAACATGCTATTAAATAAAATCGGTGAGAGAATATTTTCTTTTTAAAATGGCCTAACTTTTCATCCTGTTGGTACTTTTTTCCATATGAAAATTTTAATTTTTATTAAAACTATAATCATACATTATACAGGATTGAGGAATTGTAAATAATGAAGAGCTTTTCTTCAGTGTGTTCAGTTTTAGATGATTCTTTAAATACATAAATGTTATACTGATATCTGTGTCAAAAAGTTAAGATAGTATGTCTTTATATATAGTTAGAACTATGATAATTCTTACCTGGGTGAAGGTACTGGTGTGCATTGTGGAAACCTGTATATGTAGAATAACTCTATCAATTAATGGCTTGGGACCAGTTAGAAATCCAATTCGTAGCCTGTGCAAGATAGATAGATAAATAGATAAATAAATGAATACATAGATACCCACACAAAATAGTTCTTTACATATACACATAAAATGCCACATCCAAAATTGTGGAAGACAATATATATCCTAATATTTATATTGATTTTGAGGCAACAAAAGGGAATTATGAAAGTATCAGAAAAACAAACCAATTTGATAAAAGTTAATGAAGTAGGAATCCAGATAGTTGTAATTATGGAATAACTAAGACAAAAGAAATGTCTGATACTGTTTCAGGAAAAAGATTAGTGTGATGAAAATTGAAGGATAGAAGATGTATACATGGAACAGCACTTGACTGTTACACCATATAAGTTTTCAAGAAGGACTACAATAAAAATGTCTTTGTTCAAATTAAATTAATACCAATAGTTTTAGGGATTTTCAAGTGTGTGCTTGGCCAGACAATTGATTGTCCAGCTATGGTGCAACTGAATTTACCCAGATGAGAGGATCTTAGAAAAGGAGTCAGTCCTAATAACTCGCCCATCAATGTCCATTGAAAGAAAAGTTGGTGCCCAAGGCTTTAGGAAAGAAAATAAAGATTTGCTGTTAGTAAATAATACTTGCACGTGGTGGCTCACATGTTGTGGAAAAGTTTAAAAAAACAATGTGTACATGCATTAAGAAATGTATTCATGCATTAAAACTGGGCTGCACCCAACATTTCCATTCAGGAAGGAGGATTTCCCATTATCCTCCTGCCCATCTCAATATCTGCCCCAAATTTACTCTGTAAGGTCCATCAACTATTTAAAGAATAACCACATATGTACAAGAAGTGGCATATTTGGCAATGGAGAATTACCATTATAAATGATGCCTCTTGACTGTAATATATTATTAAGATACAGAAAGTCTAAACAGAATGTTTTGGATTAGTGTTTTTTTCCTTAAATTAAAATATGTGTAGATGAAATCACAGGTATGCTACTCCTATTTTTAATAACTGTGATTTTGCTCATCATTTAAGTCCATAACCATAATGAAATTCTCTTATGGATGCTGTTTTGTGGCTTGAAATGCATATGTACCATGGTATACTTTCATGTCTGTAGCCACGGAAAAAATGGCTAATTAATGGAAAAAATATACTACATACTGTGGAAACAGTAGTGACAAATCGTAACACAATTTATAAAGAAGTATCCAAAGAATACCAAATTCTCGCATTCTTTGCTGTGGCCTCTGATTCAAAACCAATTGACAAAAACTCACCTTATTAAATTGAAGGAAATAATATGGATCATCTTCTATTATAAGGAAATCATATTGTCTTGCAAGCTGAAAGAAATATATACACTTATATTCATACAAACAAAATAATAAAAATAAAAGAATTGTTTCATAATCATATATTATTGTTACCAATTAGCTCTTTTCTATTGTTGAAATATTCAGTTATTTTCAGTTGGAAATTCTGAAGTCTGTTTCAATTTCCTTACTGGGATCAACATTGTTCCCAAAACCTGAGTCAAGGCATACAATGGGAATCCCATAGAGATTCACACTAACGGCAAAGCACATTATTGTACAAACTAGACAACAAATCCAAATCTAAATATAATTTGATTAGGAACAGTTCAACCTAACCAAATCTGAAAAAGGTAATTGTATAAAAAATAGAAAAAAGAAAGTAAATTCAAATTAATAATAGGAAATATGCTTGAACAATAGAAATAATTTGGTATTTATGGCAAAACTGATGTTGTGGGTTTTTTGATGATTGTTCAGATGAACTCTTATCCCTAACTCTAATCTCTGATCATCCTAAGAACTGTGAATGATTGGAAAAAAGGTCTAGAAGGACAGATTTCCAAGGCCTGATTTAAAAAGTATTCTCATACACAACTTCAACCCTTGAAATCAGATACAATTGCTTATTGAAAAAAACAATCTACACAAACCAAAGAAAACATACGCATGTTAATTTCCCCCAGAAAAATTAATATGGATCTGGGTATATAAGAGATAGATATAGACATGTAAATATGATATATATTTATAGATCCCGGGGCCCAAAAGGGTAATGACCACAGTGTAGGATATCCAGTGGTGGGCTTCAAATATTTTTACTACCGGTTCTGTGGGCGTGGCTTGGCAGGCATGGCTAGGTGATCATGTGACTGGGCAGGCCAACTCGACATCACTCACCGTGTCTGGCCCTGCTTTCTCAACATACCTAAAACACCTCTAATTGTACTGCAAATCTTTCTTCCATGGCCACTGTCACCACCACAAAATCTGCAGTACCTTATATGACTCGCACTTACGACTGGTCCTTACATTTATGCCTGTTGCAGCATTCTTAACAACCATAGCACTCATTTTGCAACTGTAGTGCTTCACTTCATCACGGTGACAAGATAGATCGTAAAACGTAAAATGAGAGGACCGGTCGTAAGTGCAAGGACCAGTCATAATTGACTTTTTTCAGCACTCTGAGTAGTCCCTATACACATGGGGACTATGGGGACTACTCAGAGGGCTGAAAAAAGTGAATTATGACTGGTCCTCACACGATCGGTCCTTGCATTTATGCCCATTGCAGCATCCTCATGCTACATGATCAAAATTTGGCTGTTTGGCAATTGGCATGTATTTATGACCGTTGCACTGTCCTGGGGTCATGGGATTGCCATTTGTGCCTGTCCTAGCATGAGCTTTTTCTTGTCTACTTGCAAATGTTCCTTTATTGATCTGACTCAGTATTTGATGGAAAGTCACAAAAGCAGAAGAACTAAGTAGAACCTGATTTCTATCTAGTTATTTTCAATTAAGTCCTCTTCAATCTTCCCTTAAGGCTTTGCTAAATGATTAAACCCTGCCTGCCTTCTCTATGCAAACAAACCAGGTTGTTGCTCTTTACTCTGCAGCAAAGCAAGGATTCTGGAGCTTGATGTCTATGGCGATTCTCAGACTTCCAGGTCATGGTTTGTCCCAAAGGTGCTTTTTTCAAGAGACAACTTGCTTTGCTTCTCATCCAAGAAGTGTGTTAAAAGAAAAACCAGAAAGTCCATTTGCCTCTTGAAAAAGCACCTTTGGGATTCTGAAGCATGATGAGGTGACCAATTAAATAAAGTTTCGTTTTACGAACTCATTGTGGGCACATTGTTTGCATTGAAGTAATTAAGAAAACACCAACATTTGCTTGGTGAATTATTTGATGAGATTATTGCATGGTACCCAGGGGTTCCCAACATGGAAAGTGAGAATAGGAACATTTTAACAGATCTGTATGTTCTTGTGTTATAATTTTCACTAGAGAACCAGGGGGTTGGAAAGGGAAATGTAGACAATGGAGTCCAAATCCCATCCCTCAACAGATTGGAAGCAAAGAATAACTCTAGCAAAGTATCGCCTTTTACCTCTTTGGGGAATCATTTTCATTCTTGCTCTATGTTAAGTTTGCGGCAAGCCTTGCTGTCCACAGAACCTGCCGGTGGTGGTGGTGGTGCCGATGCAGCAAGTGCACCCGCAAACAAAACTGGCTCTTTTGCCTTGCAGGGATTGGGACTCGGGAGGCTGAAATCCTGCAGGGGCATCGAGCGGATCCCATCTCTAGGACCAATTCTTGGCACTTGAAGGAGGTAGCCCGCAGAGGGAAGGGCCGACCGTGGGCGAGCAGCAGGGTAGACACCACTGAAGCCCCGGGCGAGCCTTTTCCCCCAACTGTGACCTGCATGTGACACCCAGCCTGAAGCCCCTGCTCGCCGCACCCACCCTTCCTCGCCTTTGAAGATGGAGGCTGCTGCTGCCTTCACCATGGCTGGACCTGCTGCTGCTCTGTGAGGGAGGACTGGCGGGGCGGCAGGTGAGGCTCGCCCACATGCAGTCTCCTCGCAGAAGGTCCTGGAGTGCACCACAAAATTCAGCCAGTGGAGAGAGGGACCTGCCCATCCAGGGCCAGCCTCCGTAGTGACCTGGGCCCTTCTTAAATGCCACAGAGCTCACCCTAGGGCTCAGCAGGGTGACTTCTCCCCACTGGTGCTTTCCCGCCCCAGAGTGCCAAGAGGCCAAATGTTGCAATGCGCTCTGGGCCTCTTGGCACTCTGGGACGGGAAATGCAATATAGAGGCCAGTGCAAGGGAAAGACAAGGAGCAGGGAAAAATGAAAAGCCCCACCAGCTGCTCCGTTGCCTGTTCGCCATTGCAGCCCCCTGCCCACCACTGCCCAGATGCTCTCACTTTCCCCTAATCCCCCAAGCATTTCTTTGCCTACCCGATATCCAGCTTCACCGCGTTTCTTCTTCTCGCCGTTGTGTGCAGGGAAATGAAAGTTTGTGTGGGGCTAAAAAAAAAAAATTCACTCCATCAATTTCAACTTTGCACGATCTTCTTCTTTCGTGAGAAGTTGGAATTGAATGATTGAACATTTTTAGCCCCATACAAATTTTCATTTCCCTGCACACTGAGAAACGTGGCGGAGCTGGACATCAGATAGGCAAAGAAATGCTTGGGGAATTCGGGGAAAGTGAGGACATCTGGGCGGTGGTGGGTGGGGAAAAACTCTTCTGCCCACAAAGAGAAGAGGGAAGAGAAGAGATGGCTGGAGGAGCACCGTCTTGCTCCATGCACCCCAATGAAAGGCAGTGGCAGTTCAGCTACGCTTGGCAGCTCAGCGGCAAAGAAGACAGGCAAGCATGACGGAGCCGTGTGCCACGTGGAAGGGAGTAGGGAAGGCAGGGAAGCGGACCTGGCCACGGGGACCACCAGGAAGGCCACATGGAAGGCAGGGAAACATAGCAGGGCCGCATGCCATGTGGAAGGGGGCAGGGAAGTGCGCTGGGCCTCAGGGACCAGAGGGTGATGTAGGAGGCAGCTAGGCTGGGATTCGGGCGTTGCTGCTTGCAGCCTCATCCAGGTTGCCAGGCAGATCAGGGCAGCTCAGCTGGGTCACACAGAGATCTCCGCATAGGATGCAGCTGAAGATAGGCAAGCTGGCTGGTCCTCAGAGACCTTGTGGTTGAAGCAAGCCAGGGAGCCAGGCGAAGAGCAGCAGTAGCGATGCCGGGTGAGTGGACAAGACATGGAGTGACTGGGTGGGGCAGGGGAGGGGTGGGCAGGGTGAGCCAGAATTATCACTACCAGTTCACTCGAACCAGCTAGAACCGGCTGAATCCCACTATGGTGGATATCAAATTTCAATTACATGTTTAACTAACAAATACTTAATCCCAGGTTTTAAAAAGTATAAGTTGGACAAATAAATAATCTTGTGGAATAGATTTGTTGTCTCACTGAATACACAAATAAGTGAGGAAACATTATTTTATATCTAACATATACTGACATCACAGATTGCCTTTTGAAACATGTATCTTTTAGTTTGCATTCTGACTTTCAGAGCAAGCCTTCCCTATGTGGCTGATAATAACCAGTCACTTATTTTAGCCTGAAGCCTAACTGCATCTTAGATCAGGGATCGCCAACCTTTTGGACCTCAGGGACCACCAAATTTTAAATCCCGGGGAGCACTAATATGAATTTTGACTGATGGTGGCTTGCTGACATTGGTGGGTGGGAAGGAGGGAGGAAAGAGAGAGATCTGACCTAACCTCTCTCTCTCTCTCTCTCCCTCACTCACACTCACAAACACAGAGAGGCCAGGGTGGGATTCAAATTTCTTAACAACTGGTTCTGTGGAGGTGGCCTAATTTGTGGGTGTGGCTTGGTGGTCATGTGACTGGCTGGGCATGGCTTGTATGTAAATATTATAAATATTTATGTAAATATTGAATTTTTTTATAAAAAAGGAGCAACTTTTACCTAAAATCAGGCAAAGCAGGCAGGCAGATTGAGTTGCTCACAGAATCAC